AGGGTGAAAATAATGCAGGGAGAGTAGAGAGGGGTAACAGTAATTAGCATGCATGCTCTACATGTATGATACTGTCAAAAAAGAAAGTCAAGAATGGTAAAAAAAAAAAAAAGCCTACTGAAGTTCTGTAGCACAGATTAGATAAACCTGGGAGTCTGCTTCGAGCTATCCTACCCATTCTAAAGCAAACCAAGTGGCATTTGGCCCACTGCCAGACCCCAGCAACAAATGCCTTCACTGCTCTGCTTGCGTACTTAACTGTGTTAGGAAATAGGACCGTGCTCCCAGAGACCGGCACATTCAAAGTGATACAGCGCAAGGTAAGAAGGAACACCAGCCGAGAAGCCACTCTGGAAGGTGTGTGTGGGGGGTGACAAAGAGCCACACCGTCAGAGGCCAGCAAAGCTGCAGCCACACACTGCCCAGGCCTGCAGAGCTTAGATGTATCAAAAAAGCAGTGGGATGCTCTTTAGAAAATTGTAGAGAGAAGAGTGTCTTGACAATTCTTTTTGAAAGCTTCATTCTGCAGCTAGATTGGTAGAGACAGAATACCCAGGAGTACTTGAGAGTAGAAAGCAACTAGACGATGGTGCTGGAGATGTTGGCAAGACCGGGCTAGTGAGACACTGAAGAGAAGATCTGGGACTCAGAATCTGTTTTTACCTGATAGGTCCGATGGCGTTTGTAAGGCAGGGTCCAGGTAAAGGCTGCTTTGGGGAACAACTGTAGGGAGACTCCTGGAGTGGGGTGTGGGAGAGTAGTATCAGAGGAACATATCACAAGGTTACAACTGTAACCTTGTGATATGTATTTTGTATCCTAAGTAGACACATCATGGAGGCAATTGAATGCTGCTCTGAGATCTCCACTAATCTTGACAGCTGGGACTCAGTGCACCATCATCAGCAGAGGTTTGAAAGTGATTTCAAACCACAGTAGTGTACCTGGAAGTTTCACGAAGCCATTTGCAATTCTGCTGGCTAGCTTTCCAGAGTCACAAGAACAAAACGATAGTGCCCCACTCTGCCGAAGGCAGTGAAGATATCACTCAAGATAAGGACAGAGGAGAGCTGTCAGATACGGCACAGGGGAGGCATGCTGGAGGAAAGGAGAGATGTCCTAACGATAGCCAAGGCAGAGGCACTGGAAAATATTAACACGGTGCTCTGCTTGCTGCAGAAGGTGGGGGAGGGGGAGGTGTGTGTGAGACAGCACTGTGGGGCTTAAGAGGACCAGAGGTACTAAGGGAGGTTTAAACCTAGTGCTGTTGATTCGGTGGAGGGGCAACTTGATGGTGTGCACCTGGAGGAGGGAGGTAAGCGAGCAAGATGGAAGGAGAAGGACTTAGAGCACATGTAGGACCTCCCCACCCACCGCGCTCAGGAAAGTCACGCTGCATGCCTTACATGCAAATAGCTGCTACATATGGAGGCATCTGAGAAGAGGGCATCGGGGCTGTTTCCAGCTTCTGGCTATTACAATAAAGCTGCTATGAACATGGTTGAGCAAATGTCCTTATTGTGTACTTGAGCATTTTTTGGATATATGCCTAGGAGTGGTATGGCTGGATCTTGAGGAAGCGCTATTCCTAGTTGTCTGATAAAGCGCCATATTGATTTCCAGAGTGGTTGTACAAGTTTACATTCCCACCAGCAATGGAGGAGGGTTCCCCTTTCTCCACATCCTCTCCAGCATGTGTTCTTACTTGAGTTTTTGATCTTAGCCATTGTGATGGGTATAACGTGAAATCTCAGGGTCGTTTTGATTTTCATTTCCCTGGTGATTAGGACTGTTGAGCATTTCTTTAAGTGTTTCTCTGCCATTCGAAATTCCTCTATTGAGAATTATCTGTTTAGCTCTGTACCCCATTTTTAAATTGGATTACTTGATTTGTTGTTATTTAACCTCTTGACTACTTTATATATTCTGGATATTAGCCCTCTGTCAGATATAAGGTTGGTGAAGATCCTTTCCCAGTCTGTAGGCTGTTGTTTTGCTCTGACGACAGCATCCTTTGCTTTACAGAAGCTTTTCAGTTTCATGAGGTCCCATTTATTGATTGTTGCTCCTAGGGCCTGTGCTGTTGCAGGGAATCTTATGAAAGAAGAGAGAGATAGAAAGACCTGGAGGGGACAGCAGCCTCACAAAGAGAGCAAACAGGACTAAAAAAATCTGGGCTCAGGAGTCTTTTCTGAGACTGATACTCCAACCAAGGACCATGCATGGAGATAACCTAGAGCCCCTCCACAGATGTAGCCCATGGCAGCTCAGTGTCCAAGTGAGTTCTCCAGTAAGAGGAACAGGGACTGTCTCTGACATAAACTCAGTGGCTGGCTCTTTGATCACTTCCCCCTGAGGGGGAAACAGCCTTACTAGGCCACAGAGGAAGACAATGCAGCCAGTCCTGATGAGACCTGATAGACTAGGGTCAGATGGAAGGGTAGGAGGACCTCCCCTATCAGTGGACTGGGGTGTGTCTGTGGCATAGGAGTAGAAGAGGGAGGGAGAATGGGATTGGGTGGGGATGAGGGAGGGGGCTACAGCTAGGGTACAAGTGACTAAACTGTAATAAACAAACAAATAAATAAAAGAGGTCATTTGGAGACAAGACAAAGAGCGCAAGCATATTGTGAGCTAGTAAATCTAGTGTGTATCACATGTCTCAGTGAGTGTCTACACACATTTGAGCACCCTGAGAAAGAACAAGGCAGCAGAGAGGAGTGATTGAGGTCCATCTTACATGGCGCTCTACCTGCTTGAAGACTGGATTTTTGAGTCACTGAATACTGAGCCCTGCCCGCTGGTTGTCAGTGACTTGCTGGTGACATCCCTCTCCTGTGCTAACCTTGACAAGTTTCATCCACCATCTGTCTTTCTGCTTTAGCCCTGGCCTCTGGGCTGTGCTTCTCAGTGCAGCAGCACTCATCCAGTCCACCTGTCTTTTGCGCATGGGTCTTACTACCTCAGATACACGCTAAGCTTTGGATGGGGTCAAGCATCTCACAGTAAAGCGCCACTGTCTCTTCCAGTGTGAAAAATCTCCTATTAGATACGAGGTAAATACTTAGTGCCTGCATGTTGACCGATTTATCTTTTTAGAGCTGAATGGCTAATAAAATGTTTTATGCAGCAATTCCCCAGCTAATAGAATATGCACAATTCTTCTTGGCACCTGCTGGGCATTTCTGGGAGACGCTGAAATCATTCATCAATTTTCTCCTCTATGTGTTATTCAATTAGTTTGTCTAGGGTGCAATCTAGAAGGAGTATCATCAAGAGCATAATAGCCAGTTGCGTGCAAGCTCTCCTGCTGCCCATGTCTGCAGCTGGGCCTCACAGAAAGGCTCTTGTCCAGGTGAGCGCCAGGCTCTTGAGTCACACGCAGGCTCTGCTCTAAGGAGAATGAAAGACTGAGGCACTAGGTGCTACTGTTTTCTGTAACACAGTGATGAACGTAAAATCAGTTTGCTGATGTAGTTAGTGGAAAAATAATATTGTTACTATAATTAGAGAAGCGTCATAGACAGCCCATGTCGCCCTCTCTTGGACTGAATGGTCAGAACTGAGTGCTTAGGTGCACAGAATTTCTAGGTTATTGGCTTTGACAAAGCATATATCTAATTATTAACACTTAAAAGCAACTGAGCTATTGGATATAATTATTATATTTAAGTTAGACTACAAACACCACTCACACGTGTTTCTTGTAATTAGTGACCACACTATCACACAGTAATGACCTTTCATTTTACCCATCAGATCGCCATGTCAAGTTAATGAGTTATCGATCCAAATATCATTTAATCAAACATCCCAACTGCACATGGCTTTCTTTAGAACAACTTTGTAGAAATAAGTAACATTAACTATTATAATTTTTAAAGATATTTTTAAAGATAGGGCCTCAAGGTAGCCCGGGAAATCCTCCAAATCTTTATGTAGCAAAGAATGAACCGGAACCGCCGATCCTCCTGCTTTTGTCCCATGAGTGCTGGGATTTACAGGCATGTGTCATCCACCGTGCCTTAGTGTTGTCCTAGTATTGAACCCAGGGCTGTGTGAGTGCGCGCTAGGCAAGCACTCTGTCAACTCAGCTGAGCCATACTCCCAGCCCGATTATTCTAAAGTCTTATCATTCTATTCTGGAGCTATTGACAAGGTGAACTATTTCGTTTGCCTGTGAAATACACACATTGACAAAGATAAAATCAAACACAATGAAATACATTAAAAGAGACTTCAAATTCTACAGTGAATGCAACCTATGATAAAAACCATCATTAGGCACATTTCTTGACTGAATTAGCATTAAGCAAGCTGCTAGTGGAATCCTAGGCGTCCTTCCGAGACGCCACTTTTCAGAGCTTGTGCCAAAGACTACCGCTGTGCGTGAGCAACAGTAAACCTCGCCAGCTTTCTTCAAGATTTCTCTCTAGTCCTCTAACACACATGGATTATTTTCAGAGTGGTCCCACAGATTAGACGGTACTTAGTGAGGAAACAGCAGTTTAAACTGTCCATTCAAAGAATAAATACAGACAACTTTGAAGTAATTTTACATTTAACAATAAACTGGTATTCATTGATGGTTTTAAGGGTTCTTAAACACAGAACAAAATATTCTACGAAGTTTTTTTTTTCATTGTTTTAATCACTAAGAAAAAATATTTTTTCTCTGAGAAGCCTTTTCTTCCCCACAGAGGCAATATTCCCTAAAATGGAGATTAATAAGCAATTAATGACTCAGACTTGACTCAATATTGCAAGTGTGCTAGTATAATATCTTGATAAATATAAGAATTTTGAGAGCCAAAAATTAAAGACTTTGATGTGTGTAAGATCAATAGACGTGACTTATCACTATTTAATATCAGTTTTAATTTTTAAATGCCATGTTCCAGTGGAAAAAAGTTTACTGCAAAAAAATTGAAATTCCAAGAAAGAATCCAGACAAAAGAAACAAACTTTATATTAAAGCGCTGTTAAGAGGTCATACTTACGCTGCGACCTCCTCCTTCGACAGGCCTTTGAAGTTCTGCTCCACGTAATTATCTATGTCATCTTTTTCTTTGAGCAGCTGAGCCCTAAGTGGAATAGAGAGAAACAGTAAAGTACTGTCTGACCAGTGTGAGAAGCTTCCAAATACACAAAAAGCTACCAGGAGGGAAGCCATGTTTGGTAGAGGGGAATGCGTCTGCGGTGAGCTGTAGCCTTAAGTGGCTTGAATCATTTCCAAATAACTGCAGATAGGGAAGATGGGGAAGAACGGATCCAGCGAGGAAAGGAGGCACATCAGCCACAGATCCCATGCTGGAGCAGCGCTGTTTTCTCTCAGAGCTCGCGGGGCCCCTTCCCACCACTGGCTGCTGCAGAGGGACTCTTGCTATTTTCTTTGGTATAGGGCCTCGAGTCAAGAACAACTGTTTGATTCACATGTGTTAAACATGTTTGCTCCAAACTTTGCCAAGGAACTCTGATTGAAAAGTTTTATTTTTTCCCCCAATTGTTCTGTTTGTCTTGTTTTTCAGACAAATGTCGTTCTGCAGCTGCATCCAGCCCTGTCTCCCAGCTGCTGCCACCTCCTGAGCGCAGCTCGCTCAGAGGTGGCCCATCATGCCCTACTATAAACCTGCTTGGGTGTTTTTTATCCTTAAATCACATACACATCTCAAGTTGTTGAGAGTCAGGATGCAGAAAATTTAAAACAGACTTTATTGAAAAATACGTTCGTATTAACATCCTCTGTATTAGTAAAAACAAATACAGCTCAGGTTTCCAGAACGCTGTGTGTATGGCACTAAACATCCCTAAAGTTATGTTTTACATATAGAATACTTAATAAAGAATGTTTGTAAAAACCCTTCCCTAAATAGTAACAATAAACATATTTTGTTTAATAATATTCTTTTCAAAAATCCATCTGCTCCTTGGGAAGTGACAATCACTGTGTTTATTGCTCACTTTGAAAAAAAATATGTAATCTTAATCACTGCAAAAAGCCAGACAGAACAAGCTTTTCGGATTTTGTAAATATTTCAGAACTTAAAGAACATACACACGCTTGTGTGCATAAGCACACACCAGGCACTTATTAAACATTTCTCAGCTAAGAATATCCATATCGGTTTTGTTATGTGTTTCCTTTGGTCCAGGGGCTTTGGTCTTTCCAAGAAATACTAAAGATGAGAGCCAAGAACAAATAAGTCTTGTAATAATGTAGTCATTATACTGTGCAGGAATTGGCACAAATGCACAAAAAGAAAATAGCCAAACATACATATGCAAATGATTTCTAGTAAAAAGTAGTACATATATTCTAATAGTCAATACACTAACAAAGGGCAACTTCAAAGTATCTCGGTATCTGTCAATATGCATAAATATGATAAATGCCTCAATGTCTTATTCTGGATTTTTGACAACTGCAGTAGCTTGGTAGCCATTCAGCAGCAGCAGCACTGTAGCGATGAATTTTCAGATCCCATTGTCATTTCGTCAACTAAATCTTGTCTGCCAACCTACCCTACTAGGAGCAGCATAGCCCTCCAAAACAGAAGTCAGTATTTGACACTCTGTGAGATAAAAGCCCATATGTTTCTGTCCTAAAGCTCCTGCTTTATCCTCTCTGTGCCTATCTGAAAAAGAAGACATCTTGAAACTATGTAAAAAATATAAAATAATTTCATAGGAAATAAAACACTTAAATGACCACCAGCTTGGAAAATAAATATATTCGTTATATTTGATTGAGGCTCACGAAGCATTTCAAAGCAAGGAATCAGAATATTTGACCATAAAAATGTTATTATTCCTTTTTTTGACACAACTGTACCCTGTGGGAAAAGAAACATGAAACAAGGACTATACCTTGGGATTTTTCCTTTAGAGCATGGCAGCTTCTTCTTGGCTAAAGCTGCAAGCGTTGTGCGAGTCACAGGAAGTGGGGGAAAGGTGGTCATTGGAGACTGCAAAATATAAACAGAAATGGCTGTTTTAAAAGGTGAAGTCATCAAAGACTACTTGAAGGTAACATCATTAGCAATGTACTTTGTGTTGTCTGAGATGAGGTGTCTCTGTATTCTGCAGGCTGCGTCTCTCATCTCTTCTACTGTCTGTCCTTTGGACAACTGTCTACCTCTACTGCAGAGTGGCTTAGGAAAAAATCCACCAAATGCAATGATGGTTCAGCTCTGTCAATAGTTCTGTTAAGGGACATGGTTGCAATGCAAGAATGCAGTCTCTCTGACGAGCTGTGGGTTTCCAGGATTCATGGTTTGCTTTCCTGTTATAAAATGATTGAAAATATATCAAACTTTGTTTTTTTTCTAGAAACCTTAACACTCACAAATAGAGGATTTTCTCATAATGATAGATGCTAAGAGTGATACTCAGTAAGGAGGCAGCCCCTGAGGAGGAAGAAAGCCAAAACTCGTAATGTAGCAAATCATGTCAAAATGTATTGGTTTTAAAAAGTGTTTAAAACAACTTTCCTCACTCCTTATATGTGTCAAGAATTTGAATAGTGTGCAAAGGGGCAGCTTTACTTTGATGCTTAATGACTGGGACCTCTTCTGTAAGCTCAGAAGCTTAAGTAACCCAACTAGGGACAGGACTTATCTCCACTCATCTCCACTGATACCACAGGCTGTCAGCTGGGCCCGAGCATAGCTGCCTTCCAGAGCGCACACATGTAGTGTGTCAGGTTTTCTCATTGCGTAGCAGCCTCAGGAGTGCTCAGGGCCAACACGGGGCTCCAAAGGCAAGTACCTCAATGAAATGTCAAGAAGTTGAGTCCCTCTTAGGCTAGGGCCTACTTTCCTGTACTAATAGGTCTGTCCAGGTACAGGGCATGTGAATACAGAACCATCCACCTGACAGAGACTGGCCTAGTCATACTTCAAGAACAGGATGTTCAGCAGGAGAGATGATAGTAGCCATTTATTTATTTATTCATTCATTCATTTATACTTCATTGTGCCACAGTTCTGAGCACTGAGAAAGGAAAGTCAGTCAAGTCCTTTAATCCTTGTCCCCAGAGAAAGCCAGGTGGACCCTGGTACCCAGAGGTCCTGCAGGAGAAAGGGTCTGACAAGGCTCTCAGCTGCAAGAGTCCACCTTCTACCAAGTGCTCCCGATGTCATCCCACTGTGTGCACCAGCTTTGACTCTAACACTTTCTCAGCCACCCGAAAGGCTGCTTCTAAGTTTCCAATCGATTCTCGCCATCATTTTGTACCTCTGTAAGCTGTAGTAAAACCATCAACTTAGGCCCTGAATATTCAACAGATTATGTGAGGGACACCGTCCAAGGTGCCCAAGACTCAACATCCAGCAAAAAAAGAAAGATTTCTGACCTCATGAAATTTCCATTATGGGAGTGGTTAACTGAGAAAAGTAGAGAGAGGTTACATAAGCAAGATAAATAATATAGAGTGATTAAAAAAACAGACTTCATAGGGAAACAACACAAATGCTAAGCAATAGTGGGGGCAAAGAAGGTGAGAAGGCAAAGAAGTTAAAATTAGGAACCAGAGTCTTGAAGTTGCTGTAGAAACTCCCATCCCCCCCATTGACATGAAAATGACGCGGCCACTCTTCCTACTGTAGGTCCTCCAGATACAGGGCCCACCCTGGTTCCTTTTGGGATGACACAATCTTAGCTTCACGTTGAAAGGTTTACCATGGCTTCTCCCAAGTTTACCTCACAGAGAAAGGAATGTGAGGATGCAGAAGGCTCCTAGAGAGGCGTCTGTGAATCTGGCAGGAGAGGTGGTTGGAGGAAGTGGAGCTGGGAGATGTAATCAGACCTAAGCTGGAAGATGAACCTATAGACAGTGAAGGCTACAGCGTCACGGCATGATGGGACTGGTGCAGGGGCGAGGAAACACTAAAATCTTGAGGGGAAGTCGTGTGAAAGTCAGTATTGATAGGGGTGGTCTCATGTTTCTCAAAAGACTATCATATTGGACTAAAACGTGTTTTCATAATTAAAGAGAGAATTTAAATACAGATTAGCAATTTATTTTTGAGAGACTAGAATCCCATCACCCTGTTTATGCAGATACGATTAACAACATGAACCATGTGCATTTATAGCCTGTGCATAGTCATGCAGTTAAAACACACAGTCTAAACAGAAAGGTTTTGTTTGTTTGTTTGTTTTCTGCAGAATAAGCAACAGAAGTGGTTGGCGTTACAATGGATAACCTCATCACATGATGACTTAACTCTCTATTAACTTTAATAGATCTGATTTTCTTTTCGGTCAAATCCATAGCAACCATTTGGTTTACCTGACTTAATGAATTTATTCAATCAAAGCGTTAAACATTAGATGCGTTAAGAAGTTTTGACTAAGAGAGGACAACCTCACGGACGTGCTTGAAGGAACCCTGAAAAGCTCCCCAAACCCAACTTCCAGAAGCTTACTCCAGACTCTCTACTCCAGAGAGTTCGGTGTTACAGAGTGCATATGAATGACCCTACCTATTTGTCCCTGGAGGATTTTTATGGGGAATGAATACAACAGCCACCATGTCCTCAGCACATCCTGAGGCCCCATTCTGCTTTCCAGGGCGTGATAGATTGGGCACTGGAGACAGGAAATGCACACAGTTGCAGAGGCTTTTTAAAAGATTCACCAAGGAGCTTTTCAAACGCTAGGCAGATGTGGCTGTGTGCAAATGATGGAGCAGTGTCCAGAAGCTCCAGCGGGGCCAGCGTACCCCACCAAGGAACACGTATCCTTGCGACCCCTCAAAGTGGGCCTTCCAGCATGCTACACAGAAACAAGCTGGTTAGCTGAATTTTTCCAGAAAATGTAAGCATATAATGAAATCAAATGCAAATGATATACATGGAAAAGAATGTGTCTTCTTTGTCACACAGATCAACTGTGATTTTTTTTTTTCAAATTCTAAGTCAGCGTTTCCCACCATTAAAGTTTCAGCTGCCAGTTCCTTCATTTTGCTCTCCTCTGATCTGAGAACACGAGCAGCAGGAACACCTTTACTCTTAAATTTAGTTTAATGTAAGTATTGCAAGCCCTGCTGGCAAGCCTCAAGGCACAACCTCTGAATGAGGGGTGGTCAGAGCTGAATTATAAAGTGGGGGAAAAGTTATTAACTGCATGTTGGGAAAACGTCACTCAACACATCTGCAGTGGAGAAGAGAAGCTAAGCATTAGGGTGATGTCTAGCAGGCTCTCCTTGGCTCTAAACCAGTCTTACCACACCTATGATTGCTAGGCGAAGGTATTTTGTTTCCTGTAATCCATGTGTGGTCATCATTTCATCTAGTGATACAATAGTGTATAGTTTGAATTACATGCTTCATATCAGGCTTGAAAGATATGAAATATTCGGTGTGATCCTGCACCAAATTTCCCAAGTAACTGTCCTCCCTTTCCTGCCTTATCAGTTTGGTTTTGTGTATGTTTTTATTAAAGAAGGATGTAGCTGCATTCTCATAAGAACAGCAGCTGGGGAGAACAGAAGTGTGTGTGTGCGTGTGTGTGTGTGTGTGTGTGTGTGTGTGTGTGTGTGAATGCCAGTGTGTGTAGGGAGCTAGCAGTTTGTTCTGTTTGGAGAGTGACAAAAGCCTCTTGTTTGCTGAAACATGAGCCATTTTCCCATCATTCCCAGCCCTAGTGTTCTAACCTCAATTCAGCAATGAGGAATTTAGGCCATTCCTGTTGTGTACTATCTGACCTAGGTCAGCAGCAAAAATGCAAGCCATCCCCAAACTCTTGGCCATGAGGCTCTATCCCAACTCATTTCCACAGAAGAAAGCCACAGGAAGGCAATCACTCAGGTAAGGGAGAAGGAGGGTACCTCTCAGGCAGGTACCAAAGTGTGCCTAGTCCCTGGAACCCAGGCTGAAGCATTGGAGGACCCAGGGGCATTCCCCCCTCCCCTCTAGTGCCAGCGAGTGGGCAGTGTTCCCTGTGACACCACAGGGGCTGAGTCGAAGATCAAAAGGCTGCCTGGAGCCATTCCACAGTTGGTATTCAGAAAAGATTTGGCACATTCTTTGATCTGCTGGTTGGCACTCACATCAGCTGCTGTTACAGACTTTGAGTTTGGCCCCCACATACAAAGACAAATGAGAATGGAGAAGCAGAGGATAAAGGTTTGAGAGTGCTGGGTCAGGCTAAATGGGTCCCATAGTGGGAGTTTAAATTTCTGGCTCCCAAGTGAAACTCTTCAAAGAGTCTTCCTTCGGACACTCCCCCTTGAAATCCCCCCAACAGGAATCACAAAGGAGGGCAGATGACTGTATCCTTCACACAGGTGGCTTAAGGAAGGGCTGTCTTCATGACTCTTTCCAGGTCCAATCACTGTACAGTGAAAACTGAGATGAGAGAAACAAAGCCAACAAACCCAGCAAACAAATTTACTATGTATCACCAGGAGAAGTCAAAATAAACACAGCGTTTCCACCAATGACATAAAGTCATTCTTAAGATTTGAAACTTTTTATATAAGAATTCTTTAGCTACAAAAGATGAAGGAAACTACAAGATACATTTAGTAAATTATACTCCTTTCAAGAGCAAAAAGCAAGTTCACATAAATAAGTTTAAAAATTTGGACACTCCTAGCACTTTGCAATGGACAACTGGATAGGTTGTCCATAAATAGTAATCACAAATTTCCCACCACGTGACATATGTTAGTGATTCAATCAAAACACCAAGAAGAGATAGCCTTGGAAGGTAGGACATAGTTCATCCTACTCACATTTGCAGTCAACTGATTGTTTTAGGCTCTCAGGTGTCAGTCTCAACCATTAAGCAAAATGCAACAGCAAAGAAAAGAGAAAAAGTTAAAAATTACTCAGCAAAATAATTCAATTCCTCTGTACTCCCCAAGTAAAGAAACAAGACTCACTCATAAGTATTATGTACCGAGCATATATTTAAATGAACTAAAAAGTGAATTGTCCCAATTAGACACTATGAACCTAATCACTATTTCAACAAAATGCCCCCAAACACCTGAAACTTGTGTGTCCAACTCAGATGTGGTTCAGGAGAGTCAGTGCTTTTCTCTTACTTTAGTGAGACCAAGCTGTTTCTAATGACAGCTGAGAAGGGAGAATGCCTTCCATCCACCTCTGAACAGGCCTGGTATGCCTATGCTCAGATCTGTTTGTTTTTTCTTAGCGGACCAGCTGGTCTCAGACTAAGAAGAGCACCTTCTCATCCTCTAGAGAGAGGGTTGATCTGGAGATGAATAGAACGTGTCTTTTCTCTACGGAAGCTGGGGGCCCAGTAATAGGAGAAGGGGGTCCGGGAAAGGAAGAGCGGCCCACTCTCTTGTCCCCAGGCTTGCCCCACAAACCTCAGAAAACCGGTTCTGGGACTGTGGCTCTTTGTCCCCTGTCTTAGGTGCTTCAGGCGGTGGGTGCTGGACGCCGGCAGGCTTCTCTTTCCAGGGAAGTTGGCCTGGCTAGGAGCAGAAGGGGAAGCGGAAAGCGTCTCCAGGGAAACCCAGGGGAGCGGCGGGACCTATGGGGGCGGAGTTAGGCTAAAATGGGCTTTGGGATTGGATAGCGCGGAGGCGGTGCCTGGCGGTGGTGGGGGTGGGGAGCTTGCTAATGAGGGAGGATCTCGGTCCTCTATGGACACTCCCGGAGTTGAAGGGCCTTTTCAATTTGAGACTGTCCCCGAGTTGCTTCTTTTGGGGCACCTCTTTTTCTCAAGTATTTTTCAGTATTTCTCCTTTGTCCACGAGATTGATGCTAAATCCACAGATTGGCACCCAAGATCCCCATCAACTTGATCTGACTACCCATCGAAATAAAACCATTGACCTCAGCCTCCGGGGGTCGCATCCCCAGAAAAGACTGCCAAACTTGTTTCTAGAAATAGGACCCAACTTTGTGTTAAAAAGTCCAAGGTCTCTTAGAATTACTCTGTTCTTATTTCTCACTTCTGAAAACTCAGGAGTTTGATTTTTCCCTAACGGGTCATCCTCTTTCCCTTCCTCCCATCCTTCTGTCTTTTCTGACACTTGTACGCAGAAAAGTGAGCCTTCTTGTTCCTTCTCTCATCTATAGAATGGAGCTATCGCTTATTGCTTCTCCCGTAAAACCTCCCTGGGAAGCAAAGCTTCATTGATTGCTTATTGACACACATCAGATGAGTCAGCCACCAATCGCTACGTCACTTTAACGTCACGTAGCCAATCATACATTGAGTCTATCTAGAGTATAAGCATACAGCATAACTACTTTCCCATCCCCACGTCTGATTTTCTGCAACGAATCACTGCATTGTCTCCAACAATTAAGATTAGAGCACTGACTCAGCTGTTAGTCGTGAACATTCAGTTGGTCTCTACGGCTACTGGTATCCAGTGCTGCCCCCCGCCTCCCGTCCACACCTGGAAGGCCTCATCTGCACTCATGAATTCAGAAGCACCTTATCCTAACTCCATTTGCCCCAGTCGTGTGAAATCTCTCCCAGACTCTGCTCTGTGCTGATTTTCCGCATGGGAGATTTGTGAGTTCTGTTTACTGTCTTCCCACAGGTAAAGCTGGAGGTGCCTGCTTGGAATAAATGCGTGTTTGGATTTATGCCCCCAGCTTGCTGTCCTAGCTCAAAGAGAATTCTATGACTCATCCTTCTACTGAGCATGAGCTTCTTTAGAGAAAGAAAATGCACTCAGAGAGCTTTGCAAATGATAGAAAAAAATCAAACTGACTAATGAGAAAATAAAGAGGAAACAGTTTCTTCCACCTGAAAGGTGCTGACTTTCAGCTGTTCCTTTTCTGTAGGGGCGTGGGTCCTTCCGGAAGCACTGGGGGACTTGAGGACATGCTTATCTTTATCCACACAAAATTAATCTCTCTTTATTCCTTCCGCTTAGAGATGTTTAATTCTATTAGCCCATGTTCACTGTAAGTGTGAGCTCCGTGTGTCTCCCTAATTTCCTGCTTTAGTACAGAGGATGGGCACAGGGGTGGGGCATGTACTCACACAGGTTTTGAATTAACTGAACAAATGACAGGACAGACAGAAGTTCATCCAGTTGCTTCTCTCTCTTCCTCATCTAGAATTCGAAGGGGCTTGGGGAGCAGATACACGTGACCCCTGGAAGCTGTTACTGACCTACTGCCTCCAGAGTGTCTTCTGGCCTTTGCTCTCAAGATGGGTATTTAGGGTATGTCAACACTCTTCCCAGATGCAAACTCTAATCCTCCAGTGGGTGCCACTACGGCCTAGCCACCCCTCATGACAGATCTCAACAAGCTTTTGACACTCAACTCATCAGTTTCAATAGGAAAACTTTCCTGACTCCTTCTTGTTTAATCCAGGCGTTTTACTGAATGTATCTCCTTGCAACACTGAAGAAAAAAATATTCAATTTGAGTTCTTTCAGGGCTCACATTGTCCTTCTTTCCCTGACAGCCACTGGGAAATTGTACATCCCTGACATTTAGAAAGTCTTTTTCTACACTGGCTAGTCTCGGCACTCGAGATGAGACCCCAAAGCCCATTTCCTTGTCCCTCCTTTGTATGTGATCTCCCAAGAATATCTACGGTGTCAATGACAATCACAAATGCCAGTGGCCTAAAACATCAAAGCCATTTCTGCATTACAGTCTGAACTGTCACAAGCCAGCCTTGGGTTTTGCTCCATGCTGCTGTCACAGCAGAACAGAGCTGAAAGGTATGCCACCAGGAGCATGACTTACCATGCAGAGAGATGATAATGGAAGAAAATTGCCCATTGGCTTCAAAGGCTTCGTCTAGAATACAAGCAACAGTTTTCTCTCATGTTCTGTTGGCCGCAACTCACGTGGTCCTGCTCAAATGTAAGAAATGAGGAAATTGTCTCCTTACCACCTCCTGAGCTCTAGGTTTGTAGGTCTGCTTAACCAGACCTGGTTAATCCTCTTTTAGGCTTTTTGTTTAGACATTTCATTATGTTCTTGAGGCAAGAACCCTTCAGCCAACTTCTAATGTCCTTCCTCACACTTAGATAACTGTAAGTTATTACTTTTAAAATATCTTCCATTTTAATGTTTTCTTTTTCTATGATTCTATTAATTCGAGCTCTCTGATTTGAATTTTTTAACCTTGATAAATAAGTTTTTTCATTTGTATTATTTTTACCATTTTGTTTTATTATCTGTAAAGTTTTTTTAAGGTTTATTTATTTATTATGCGTACAATGTTCTGTCTGCATGTACACCTGCATACCAGAAGAGGGCACCAGATCTCATAACAGATGGTTGCGGGCTACTATATGATTGCTGGGAATTGAACTTAGGACCTCTGGAAGAGCAACCAGCATTCTTAACCTCTGAGCCATCTCTCCAGAGTCTCAGTCTGCTTTCTTTTTCTTTTTTTCCAGAGCTGAGGACCGAACCCAGGGCCTTGCGCTTGCTAGGCAAGTGCTCTGCCACTGAGCTAAATCCCCAACCCCTGTAAAGTTTTTGAAAATAACATTTGTCAGTTCCTTATCGGTGGTTTTGTATATGGAAAGAGTTGTATGTATTTGGAAGGTGTTTTATATTGTTCTTTTAGATTTTTTAATATTTTTGTGTGTGTGTGCCTGTGTGTGCACACGTAGAGGTCAGAGAACAACTTGGCTCTCTCTTCTTCTATTTTGTGGGGCCCAAGGATCAAGCTAAGTTCCCCAGGCTTTGAGAGAAGTGCCTTTACCTGCTGACAGTCTTGCTGGTTCAGGGTAGCCTTCTAGTTGGAGGTGCTGGGAATCACAGAACTCTGTACATGCCAAGCACACACTACCACCAACTCTGCTGTCACTGTTTTTAATAGATTCTTTTTCGTGAACAGAATCTCTTCTCAATTACCACTGAACACTCCAGATTTTTTTTAAGGCTGGCTGTAATTGTTTTCTGTAAATTGTGTTTGCCTACAGGAAAGTTTTTCTTTGCTTCATGCTGACATTTTTACACAGCTTAGGATTCTAATTTAATAATAATTAAGAAACTACTAAATAATACAAATATAATAAATTAATTTAAAAGCACAAACTTGTAGGTGCTAATTACACATAATTTTTTTGCTCACAGTAAGCATTTTTGAGTATTATATTTCTTCTAAATTAAAAGTTGAGACTATATAATTTATTTCAGAAATGGCAACAAAGAGTATGAATAATAATTACATTTATTGTTACACAGAGATTTAGTAACTCTAATTTTACAAAGTTGAGGCTGAAGTATTTTATTTATACTGTACCAAATCTTGGGATGTTATTGACCTGACTGTAAATATAGTGAAATATGTTTGAGGTTCAAACATTTTGGATTTGTATGCTCAATCAGACAGAGCAGTTGAGTCGATATTTATTGATCTACCATAAACAGTGCAATGAAGTAGTTATTTGAAGGTAAAACAAGTCATTTGCTTATTGATGTTTGAAAGTAATTTTTACACTAAACCTAAGAGTGCAAAGACTTTTATAGGTTTTACTGATGTGTGCAGTACCTTTGTAATTGTCTTAAGTGTTTTGCAGTTAAAAGAACTTATAAAACAGCATTTAAGATCTAATCAAATGCAATCAGTGTAGGTATTCTCAAGTTGTCCTGTTGTTTGGTGGAACTTGAAGGAATGAAAGGGTGTAGACAAAGGAAAGCAACAGTCTGATGGCACAGTACTGACACACCGGTGTTAGGAGAGGGCACATTCAAAGGTTGAGGGTCTCAACAATAATTTTTTTTGTTTTGCTTTAACAATGTTTATATTATCAGAATTAATAAGAACATTATGAATTACTTATATTCTCAGGACATATGCAATGAAATGACATAAATGTAAAAAGGCAAATAGCAATCTAAAGTTTCCAATTAATCTTTTATCAAATAAATCCACAGGAATAAGACAAGGCACATTTATTTTGTATTTATGTATATTAAATATAAACTATATATCTGACTGCAAAGACTAAATGACATACAGATAATATAAATGAGCTTAAAAGAACAAGTGATTTTATAACAAATCATTGTAAACAACAAGCAGAGGTAAGGGCATATTACTTAGATGCTGACTTCAAAAATAGTTTTTTAAAAGCTCTCACATTGTAAGATGGCCTGGAAAGTCTCTAGGACTTCTGCTTGTGTGGTATCTAATCTGTACTCCTTGGTTTGAAGTCAAATTGCAGATGCTTCTTCTTCAAAGTGAATAAGATATACAAAGAACCAGCCACCTTTTAAAAAACAATACCATTTGAACTTGAACGTGCACATATGACTTCTTGAACTTTTACATATAGTTTTGTGCCTTTCCACATTGGACACAATTATAATAGGAACTTTTCTTTAAGTGGAGACTAATCTCCACACAGTAATGTTTGAATGCTTACACAATCTCTTTAAGCCTTCATGATATATTGTGTGCACAGTAGTCAACGTTCCTTTGTGATGATCAACACCTGAGATAAATCAGCT